ACATAGATAGGTCAACATATTTTGTACCTCTTTCACATGTAAAAGCATATGTTGCATAAGAAATTATTATCTTCGAAGCATACTCACATTTCACTAACAAATAGGGGGAGGTTCAGACTTCAGAGCAATGATAACAAGGTTTGTTCCTCACTCTTTTGTTGGAATTTTAGTTCCAAGTTAACATGATTTCTTATCCGCTTCATAAGTCGTGCATTTTCTTAATTAGGTGATAAGTAGAGCAAAAAAAATTGATCATGTTATTGTGGGGTTTGTTTAAACTCCAGCATAAGGAATTCTGGTTTAAGAAAAAAGAATTTTGGCTTCTTTAATTACAAATTGATTGCAACATCGTGTTAGTATGTGATTTCTCACATGTGGTTATAATATTTGTGAAGACGTGCATTGCACGTGCACACGGGCCCGCGCCGGACGGGTCACAAATCATTGGTAGTACATGTTGTGTTTATCCTCACTGTTGAATATTCTGTATATAACTATTTATGCAATACTTGGACCATAGGAGCAATTCATTCTGTATATTTTGCTGGGGATTGTGCCTTCCAGTCAATTTATAGATGGGTAAGATGTATCACAATATCTTTGACTTGCATTCTCTATGATGTCAACTAAGAAAATAGAATATATACTCCTTGAATTATCTTTTCTTTTTTCGATGTCTCTATCTTACTTATATAATCCAATTGGCATTCGCTAGAGTTTCTGTTGATGAAACATTTGTTTTGTGATGTCAGGAGGTTCTGTTTGTGACTTTGCAATCAATATTCGTTGATACGGTTCGTAGATCATGATATCTGCACAATCTCAATCTACTTCCTGTGACTATATATTGTATTAATGGGTTGTGTCAGGGTTATTTTATCAACTACTCGGTTGTTGATCTACATTGTGGTTTATTTCTTACATGAATTAATGTTGACTCGATTCCCTGTAGTAGGTTGAGAGGCTTCTCCTCTCATGATTTGCTCTGATTAGTTTTCTTGGCTCCATGCTACCCATGATTTCTTTGAATTTTTCTGTAGGAGCTCGATCAAAAATCACCTATGAAAAATATGTCGTTCTTTTCCACAGGGGTTGAATGTGGAATTTGAGGAGAATCTGTGCACCAGCATCCGACTCGGATGCTCCTTGATGTTGCTCTGATCATATTGAACTTAGTTTGAGCTCTTATGTTGTTAAATGAAGCATGATTTTTAGTAAGCTGAACAATAGTTCTGATTTCCTCACTTAACAGGAAAATTTCAGTTCTATTTGTATTGTTCTAATCAGTTGTTTTTACACTACTATGTAACCAGCACTCTTATATATCAAGTGATTATAGCATCTTGATTATTTCTGTATTGACTTTCCTTTCTTAGATTACTGATCCATGGTCTTCCCGTAGATTTCAATGCTGACTTGAATCCTGTTAGGAGTTGATCAAGATAATCCGTTGTGTTGTGATGCAATCACTAATTAATTTGAGAGAGAACAGTGTGGAATCACAAGTAACGAGATGTGACCATTAAGTTTGACAGATGGCAAGAGAATGTGATATGTAGTCCTCTATATGCACCAATAGTGCATTCACTTTTCACGCTTCTATGGTTGGTTCATATGTGGTTATCGAAGCAGGATAAGTTCTTGAGAAGGACTCTAATTGCTATGGACCACAAGATTTCAGATGTCGCTCCCTATTGCGTATTGCCGTTGACATTGGACTTTCTATCCAGTAAGAGGGACATTGGGATCATTGTTCATCTAGAGAAGTCAGTGCCAAATCTACGTCAGGACATTGGGATGTTAATGATTGGAGGTGATGTTTTTCTCTTCCATACCTAAATTGTCTTTAGTATAAGTCCATATAAAGAGAACTGCAGTGTTCTAACTATTGAAGCACAATTGTTAAATTAATTAATTTTAGCTATGTTATAGTTTGAGCTGAGGGCTTCTTACCATTTTTACTTCTACTAGATTCATTTGTTACACAGTTTTTAGAGCAGGGTACTTGACAAATGAGTTAGATCACTTTTCTGTCTGGGAGTCGATTTTTGTGTGTGTTAGATGGATTGACAAGTACCAAAGATTGATGCCAAGCAGAACTAAAACCTATGCATGGATTACCTTCAGTCCCGCATTCCAATCAACAACATTGGGCCGAGCGAGCGCGCGGGTGGCGCAAGAGGCAATGGGCATCCGGTGGCGATTGAGTGGTGAGCGGCGGTGGCGAGGTCGAGCGGTTGGCACAAATGGCGAGTAGGCAATTACCGTGATGGGCGAGCGGACGGGGCGAGTATGTGTCATGATTGCATCACAATTAGAATAAAGTAGACAATGCATACGTGTGGCCATTGACTGATTTTGTGTGTTGTGTACTTGTGTTAACAGCCAGCCAAATCAATCAGACAAGGACCATTATGTATGTGAGTGTGTTAGCAGTGGGTATATCTGAAGATTATTTCTCAACTCGGCATGTGGGTAGAGACTAAAAAGACGATGCCATGGTAGCATGGCAGACTTGGCAAGTGCCACGAACATGATGATATTCTTCCTTTTCTTAATTCCTTGATTTAAAAAATAATTTGCTCTGCGTGTGTAGGAACATAGCAGTCGGGCAAACGACACTTTGTCATCTTGATCTATCAAGTGAAATAATTTCTTTACTTTAGAAAATGTGGGTTCGGATTGGTCTGTTGAGTTATGGCTGGCTGATCGGAATAATTTTTCGATTTAAAAAATATAGCAAATAGCATTTCATTAGAGATTGGTCTGTTGAGTTATGGCTAGCTAATCGGAATAATTTTCCTATTTAAAAATGTAGCAATTAGCATTTCATTAGAGATGGCTTTGCAGCAAATTGCAAATGGCGCAAACCAAGCCATCGCTGCCTCGCCGCTCTCGCTGGGAGCGACAATGACCGCCAGTCTCTTCTTCGCCTTCTTAGTCGGCATCTCCTCCATCCGGATGCCCTGCGGCATGAGCCACTCTGCCACCGCCTGGGACTCGACCTCCGGGAAGTTTAGGTCCGTCTTCGTCCGTCCGGCACGCCACACCGCCACGTCGTAGGCACGCGCGGCCTCATCGGCGGTGGGATACGTGTCGAGCCACCAACGCTGCCTGGCGTCAGAGAACTCCAGTCCGAAGTTCCCGGAGGGCTTTGCCCTCATGCCGAAGAAACCAGACTTGCCCTTCGGCGTCTTCTTCGACGCCATCGGGGAGCGGGCGGCGGCCGAGCAGGGAGCGAGGCAGCGACGTGCGACACGGGGCGGAAGCAGACGGAGCGGGATGGCGGCATGCGACGCGGGGCGGAGGCGGACGAACCGGAGAGAAGGCGGACGGAGCATGGCCGGAAAGGAGGCGGATGAGCGGCGCCGGACGGAGGATGGACCGGAGGCGGAGGCGGCCGGAGAGGAGGCGGGCGGGGTCCGGGCGGGCGGAGGCGGCCGAAGCGGAGGCGAACGCGATGGGGCAGCGCGGCGGCATGCGGCGGCCTAGGCGGGGTGGAATCAGTGGCAGGGGTCTGGATCTACGGTAGGACGAGGCCTTAGAAAGTTAACATGTAACTCTTGCAAACTATTTCAAGAGCCCGTGGCAACGCCTAGTAAAGATAAGGTACGTCATTGGCGTACTCCGGAAAAAAAAGCATGCACAGGTTATGGCCAGTTTTTTTACCACATTCTATTTGTTGGTGAGACCCATTGTACAGAAATTGGAAACCACACACGTTGTGGAGTCGATGCCAAATTTGAGGCCGATGTCAAATTCCGTTTATTGGGCGAATTTGGCAGCAACACACTATGGATGCCCTTGTGCCTTCGTCAATATCTGTGTTCCACATAGTAAGATGTTTTAAATTTTGACTAGCACTCGACGGACATCTCAGGATATCACAGTTTTTCTCCTCACAGAAGCTCCAAACTGTGGTGTTTTACTTCTATTACCAGGTGACCACTGAAGTTATCTCCATCCAGGCGGCACCATGTCGGCAGTGGTAGACACGCGGGGCACATGCACATTAACCATTGGTGTGTCCCTAGGGTGGATACAGATGTTGGCACTGCTCATGCACAGGCACAGCATTCATCACTGGCATTTAGTTTGCTGAATAAATTCAGCCCACAATGGAATGGGCACCTAAAGTTTGAGAGCATTTCCCTTCGCCAACAATGGCAAGATTCTCTCATGCTTTGCTGGCTCAGGCTCTCCTGATCCTAGTAGCAACGTTGGTCACTTCGAAGTCCACAGAGGAAGGCCGAGCTCGCTCCTGTTACACGCCACCGGTGCCAACTCCGGCGTCTTCTGGCCAACGTGACCAAACCCCAGCAGTATCAGTGGGACTTCTTGGTTCGAGATCACCACTCGAAGCTCCGCCGCCGCCAGAACCACACCGTCGGTACCGGAGGGGGGCTCCACCCGAACAGCCGCCTCCCCCACCACCACTCTCGCCGCCGCCGCCACCATTCTCGCCTCCGCCTCCGCCTCCGTCATCGCCACTCTCGCCGCCGCCGCCACCATTCTCGCCTCCGCCTCCGCCTCCGTCATCGCCACTCTCGCCGCCACTTAATTAGCGGTACTATCACGTGGGTGTAGCACTTTCACTTCCCCGCATTGCAATATTTCTCAGCATCACCACATTGTATCTGCAGTTTACAAGTTTTAAGCTAGTTTTCAAAGCAATGTAACACTGGATTTTTATCTTGCTTTGCCCAGTGAGAAATTTTCCGAGCCAGTGCGGATATCGAAGTATTCTCTCGATTTTTGTTTGCTCGCCCAAGTGCCCGAGTAGTACTTCAGGGCAGAAAACCTTGACCTTGGGTTTCTACATGGCCAAACGCTGGATGCGTTGACGCGACGGCTCATCTTTCACAGCTGTAAACTCAAGCCATGATTCCGGGACAAATGCAAGTCAAGTCAACTACTCCAAGTTTTCAGTATAAGTTGGGTTGATGAGCAGGCCATCTCACCGAGAGCAGCAGTGTTCAGTTTCTTTTTGTTTGGCCAAGATGAGACTGTTCTTCAAGCTCTTCGCCGTCTTGGCCATCATGGCTGCTCTGTCGGCCACAAATGTGCCGTCGCCGCTTGGTGTATGGGGGAGGACGCCGGGGAGAGCCCCACCTTCGCCGAAGTCGTCCCCGCGTAGGAGTTCCGCGAGGCCGACTCGTCCCCGGCCACCGCCTCCGCCACCGGCGCAGAAGGGCAGAGTGAGGCCACTGCGTTCACCGCCCCCGCCTCCACCACCACCATATCGCCAACGAGGCGTCCACCCTACGCAGTCTCCTGCACCGCCGCTACTGTGCCACTAGATCAGGTTTCGACTTAATCTTGTATCCATTTTAGCCCTTGAAAAAACGGGCCTTGTTACTGAGTGCAGTGCTTTTGATTTCTCAAACGATCCTCTTTACTATTCCCTCTATTCCATAATGTAGTTGTTCGCACAGGAACACGTCACGTGTACTCTCGATGTCGGGATGGTGCACCGCAGCTCACGTCGAAGGAGTCTCACGGGAAGCGCGATTCGCAAGTCGACCGGCGAGAGCTTCTAAGGACCCGAAACCCTAAACTCCTGAGAGGGACCCCGTCGGGGAGTGCAGCGGCTATGGGCTGCCCTAGGTCGGTCAAGCCGCCCCTAGAGCCTCGCGATTCGCAACTCTCCAACACGAAGAACGACAAAGAACAAAGAAGGAACAAAACGCAGATGAAAAAGTTGTAGATGTGTTTGTGATTGTGTGTTGTTGTTCAATCAGACGTCACCTCTTATCTGTATAAGAGGCGAATGGACTTCTCGTACAAGAAAAGGACTTGCCTTGCCGTTCAAATCATCAAAATCTAACCAAACTCGGACTTCTTACGACCTCCGGCCCGGATGTCCGGCTCTTGGGCCGGATGATCCGGCCTAGCCCAGTTTTTTGACAGCAACCCGCTGTTTTGGCTCTAGAATCCACATACGACCTCAGATTTGGACGAATTTTATATCAAAATCAACCGTTCTCGACAAGACACACAACTTCCATGTTGAACACTTTGCGATCTGAGGTCATCTTGAGGGAGTTTTGGGCTGTTTTCTAACATCTGCAGATGAAAAAATTGCCCGAACATCCGGACTTCTACCCGGACAGTCCGGCCTCCAGCTGGATCATCCGGGACTGGACCCTGATCATCCGTCGTCATCGCCAACCTTCTGTTGTCTTGGTGCTTCAGTTACCCGAATGATCCGGACCCCAGCCCGGATAATCCGTCCAAACATTATTGCAGTGAATAGTTTTGCCTGTAACTTTTGCATACGACCTTGGATGGGGATGATTTTTATATCAAAATCGTCCGTTTCGACGAGACGAAGATCTTTCTAGCTGTAACTTTTTCCATCAGAGGCCATATTAATTAGGTTCTATGCCATTCTCTAGTCTGATGTTAATACATGCATCTCTAAGATTGTCATAACTTTTTCATCCAAGCTCCGTTTTGGATCATCTCTATATCTATTTCGATTGGGTTGAAGAGAGCCATCAGATGGTGACATGAACTCATAATTTTAACATCATCTCATTATAGTCTCAAGTCATTCTTTATGATCACGCATTTTCGAGCGTGAACACATGCCCCCCCTGTTTTTCGGCAAAGCTTGGATGCCGAAAAATAATTTATCCATAGTTTGTTGTAAGGATGATATCAACACTCCATCGGCAATTTATATATTCTTAGGGCGATAGTTATATATCGGCCATATCTCTTCTTAGGGCGATAGTTATATGTCGGCCATATCTTTTCTTAGGGCGATAATTATATATCGGTCATTGCCTGTCTAGGCTTCTTGCCATACACTTGGTGATACTTATTTAAATATTTACCATTGAGAACTTGAGGTAACAATGTGTCTTGTATGAATTCCACCAAATATGAGTTTTCGGGAACTATTCTTGTAATCCTAAAAGGACCTTCCCAACTTGGAGACCACTTCCCAAATTTTCTATCTGTCGAACCAATTAGTAGAAGCACCTTCCACACGAGATCGCCAACTTGAAAATTCTTCAACTGGACCTTATTGTAAGCTCTTGCTACCCTCAACTTATCTCTTTCCGTGGCTTTCAAAGCAGCCAAACATTTATCGGCAACTTCATCAATATTGTCCATCATCATGTTATAAAAGTCCACCACCGATAAATCATTTTGTTTGGCTATTCTCAAAGCATTCAAATTCATTTCCACTGGTAAAACGGCCTCTTGACTATATACGAGCTCATATGGAGTTATCTTTGTAACACGATGCTTTGAGATTCTGTGTGCCCATAGAGCTTCGGACAATAGCTCATGCCATCTTGGTGGATTATCCTCAATCTTATTCTTGATGAGCTTGATTAATATTTTGTTACTAGACTCAGCTTGTCCATTGGCTTGGGCATAATATGGAGAGGAATTGAGCAACTTTATCTTATATGATTCGAAAAATTCTCTAACTTGATGTGACATAAAGGACGAACCTTGGTCTGTGGTTAATGTTTGAGGAATACCGAATCTCTGAATAATATGCTCAGTTATGAATTGAATTACCTCTGTATGCGTCATATTTTTGAGTGGTATTGCTTCAGACCATTTAGTGAAATAATCAGTCGCCACCAGCACAAACCGATACCACTTTGAAGAAGAAGGATGAATCTCTCCAATAAAGTCTAATCCCCTACCTCGAAAAGGCCACGACTTGATAATAGGATGTAACATAGCAACGGGAGCCAACTGAATATCACCAAACTTTTGACAAGCTTCACATCCTTTATAATACCGAAACAATCATTAACCATCGTCGGCCAATAAAACCCAGCACGTCGTAATAGCCATTTCATCTTGGGAGTCGACTGATGAGTGCCACAAATACCTTCATGGACCTCTCCCATAGCAACTCTTGCTTGGTCCTCGTCCAAGCACTTTGAAAGAACATCAACCATTCGACGATAGAGACCATCATCTCTCATTGTGTATTTGAAAGCCATACGCCGAATAGTCATATCCACCCTTTTACTAGGATCACACAAATAATCAATAATGGGTTTCCTCCAGTCTTGATTTTCTCCTGCATTAAATATTTCATTACTGGCCGAAATGGTGGGCTCCGGTTCGATCTCCCCTATGTTGGCAAGACTAGACATCGACCTTTGAGAAATATGAAACATGCCATGATCCACATGATAGCCGGATGCTTGTTGTGCCAACTCATTGCTCTCCAATAGTCATGTCTAGATATATGAGCAATGCTAAAATAATCCAAAGTAGAAATTATATCTAGACATTTATCAAGATAAACATTAAGTGATTCGTCAAAACATTGAAAAACTTTGGATATTTGTTACACTATTAATAACGAATCACCAAAAGCCTCAATATGTGTAGCACCTATGGCAAGCAACATCTCTAAGACGAATAACAATGCTTCATATTCGACTTGATTATTTGTCCAAAAACATTCTAAGTGGCACGAGGCTTCAAAAACAGCACCATGAGGAGATATATAAACAATACCTACACCTTGGCCATTGCTACAAACTGAACCATCAAAATATAATCTCCATGGTACTAACGAGACAAGATTTATATCAATATCATGCTTGTCATCAATCCGATGCTCAACAATAAATTAGCAACTATTTGGCCTTTCATGGATTTTAGAGATTCATAAGCCAAATCATATTCAATTAAAGCATAAGCCCACTTGCCAATCCTACCACTAAGAATTGGCCTATACAACATGTACTTGATGACATCAGTTTGACAAGCTATAATGCAAGTACTAGGCACTAAATAATGTCTCAATTTTGTGCAAGCATAATATAAGCATAAGCATAATTTCTCAATAAATGTATACCTTGTCTCGGCGTCCAATAAGCGTCGGCTCAAATAAGTAATAACATGCTAGCTGCAATTTAAAGCCTAAAGGGCTCTTTGTGTTTCAGAGCTTTCCACACCAGAGGAGTGCATAAATAATTTTCGATCATATCAAATGCTTCTTGCTGTTTTGCCCCCCCCCCAAGTAAAATTAGTTTCATTCTTTAACCGAAGGATGGGAGTGAATGCATCAACCTTCCCTGACAAGTTGGCTATGAATCTTCTGAAATAATTAACTTTGCCAAGGAACTTTTGCATATCTCTCTTGCATGTTGGAGCCTTCACCTTTTGTATAGCTTCTATCTTTTTGGGATCAATTTCTATGCCATCTTGATGAATAATGAAACCCAAAAACTTTCCAGCCAATACACTAAAAGCACACTTCAAAGGATTCATCTTTAGTCCATATTTTTTCATTCTCTCAAAAGCTAAGCGCAAATCGGCTAGATGAGATTCAAAAGCAGCCGATGTGACAACAATATCATCAATATAAACCTCAAGTATAACACCAAGTAAATCATGAAAAATTAAATTCATAGCCCTTTGATACATGGCACTGACATTTTTCAAGCCAAAGGTCATCATTGTCCACTCAAATAAACAAAGGAAACCGGGACATCGAAAAGCCGTTTTGGACATGTCCTCTTCGGCCAATAAAATCTGGTTATACCCTGCATTACCATCAAGAAAGCTAATGACCTTATGTCCAGAAGCATCATTAATAAGCATATCGGCTATTGGCATAGGATACTCATCTTTAGGTGTAGCTCTATTCAAATATCTGAAATCAATGCACACCCTCAAGTTGCCAGAGCCTTTCTTCTCTATGGGTACAATGTTAGAAATCCACTCGCCATACCTGCAAGGTCTAATAAAATTAGCTTTAAGAAAATGACCGATCTCTTCCTTGATCCGGTCATATGTTTTTGGATTGAACTTTCTGGCCGATTGCATGTACGGTCTAAAACCGGCCTTTATAGGAAATCGATGATCCACTAGCTCTCGGCTTAAACCTGGCATCTCATGATATTCCCATGCAAAGCAACAAACATATTCTTTCAGCAGCTCAATCAACTTAGCTTTATGATTGGTTCTTAAATTTTTGTTTACAAATGTCGGCCTAGGAATTGAACCATCTCTTATATATCTATCTCTTCTAATGGATCGGCCGATGTAAAACCTTGTCCTAATTTATCCATATCATCTAACTCTTCTATGGACTCATACATATCGTTCTCATTGGACCGATATTCTACAATACGCTTTTGTAACCACTCTGAGTTAGGATCCATTTAAATACATCATACCTTGGAGCCGATTATCACCAACCGGCTTTAAAGAAACGGGTACAAAACCACTTTTTGTGGCACTAAGAAAATCAAATTCTGATAAGTCGCGCCCCGTCAAGCAAGTAGTATTAGGATGTTGCCAA